CTGTGAATTAAATAGACGAACCTAATTAGTTTTTAAAATGAATTTTATGCACAAATTAATATTTTATACACAAGTGCAATGTTTGTTTAAGACAAATAGCATCATAGAACTACTAACCTTCAAGTTCATCATTTAACACTTCATTTTGCTTGGCTGATTCAGAAGGACTGTAGAAAATACCATAAAGGTCTTTAGCTGATGACGATGCAGGTGCCTTTATGTTATGTAAACTACTGTGGGAAATGGGTGGTGGTGGTTTGGGTTTTGGCAGGTTTGAAATGCATCTGGTGCCTCTTTCTACACCTGGTATATCCATCTCTTCTTCTGATTCTTCATGTTTAGTCAATGGCTGACTGGGTGGTGGTGGTGGTGGCTGACTGGGTGGTGGTGGCTGACTTGGTGGGTGTAGGTGAATGGGTGGTGGTGGGTACCTGGGTCTGAGTGGCGGTGGTTGTCCAAGTTGTGTATAATTAGGTATGACCGGTGGTGGTTGACCAAATGATGGTGGGTAACTAGGTGGTGGACATCTGGATGGCAGTGGGTGACCGAGTGGTGGTGGTGGTTGACTTGGAAGCACTGCTTTGTTGACTGGCAAATTGGCTGTCCCACTGTTTTTCATAGATAGCAATGCTTTCATCTGAACACTAACACCACCAGATGTGTTTGTTGTTGCTGGAGATGCAGTGCTTGTTGTACTCTGTGACAATGTCACTGCAGGAATACTAGATGCAGAAGAGACTGGCTTAGCAGGTAATGTCTTCGAAACTTCCTGTTTGATGGGAAAATCAGAAATGACAGGAAGAGCTTTTCCCCCCATTGTTTCTATCCCAAGAAATGTACTTAATGGTGCTGGCTCCTCAGGTTCTTTAATACGAACAGGAATTGTTTCTTTTGTTGCAGTTTGTGTGACTGGAATCCATGGATTTGTACATGTAACTGGAATGGTAGGTTTACCACTTATTTTAATAGTGATGCCAGCCTTACTGATCTTACCTTTTGAATGATCTGTGCCAGTGAATGTTTTACTTCCTGGCCTACTTGGCTCACTGCCAAGCAAGGAAGGTCCACTGCCAAGTAAAGAAGGTCCCTTTGTGTTCTTTTTTCCTCCTAATAGTGTGAGTTTAATGCCACCTCCTTTTGTAAATGAGGGTGTTGGAGAGGCATTTTTAAGAGAGGGTAATACAGCTGTTGGTGTCACTGCACTTTCAATCTCTAATTCCTCAAGTCCAGCAATCCTTTCGGACTCCATAAGCTTAGCTTTCTTTTCTGCCAATTCTTTCATTTGAGATTCTTGTTTTTTTCGTTTCAACAAAGCTTCACGTTCATCTGTCTTTTTCTTTATAGCAGCTAATGCAATTGTGGAAGCTGCTTTTTCAAGCGCTCTTCTCTTCTCATAGTAAGGGTTGTCATCCAAGTATTTCTAGAAAAGTATTAGTCAAACAATTAGCAAGAAAACAATTATACAGCCATACATTCCATACTGCATCACCATAAAACCCATACATTTAGACTGTTGGTGTGTTGCTACACTACCAATGGTACACATTAATTACACTGCATGTGTGGTCAAATCATTCACATGGATCATGTAGCCATGCTTCCCTATCACATGGCCATACTACCCACATCACACCATGTGACCATACTACCCACATCACACCATGCGGCCATACTAACCACATCATACCACGTGGCCATACCACCCACATCACACCGTGTGGCCACACCACCCACATCACACCATGTGGCCATACCACCCACATTACACCGTGTGGCCATACCACCCACATCACACCATGTGGTCATACTACCCACATCACACCATGTGACCACACTACCCACATCACACCGTGTGGTCACACCACCCACATCACACCGTGTGGCCACACTGCCCACATCACACCATGTGGTCGCACTAACCACATCACACCGTGTGGCCACACTAACCACATCACAGCATGCGGCCATACTAACCACATCACACCATGTGGCCACACTACCCACATCATACCGTGTGGCCATACCACCCACATCACACCATGTGGCCATACTAACCACATCACACCGTGTGGCCATACCACCCACATCACACCATGTAAACATGTGAGAATCGGGTGGCCAAACTATCCACCATACACCACCACAGTGGATCATGTGGCCATACTACACAAGTGCATCATGTGGTCATACCATACTGTCCATCGTAACATATCAGAGGAATGTATTGCTATACTAACATTAGCAAATAATTTTACCTGGTAATTTTTATTATGACTTTCAGTCCTTAAATGTTCATTAGCAAGCAGGAAGTCGCCCGGAAATGTCTTGCACAGTGAACAATAAAATGCATTGACCGGCATCAGAAACTCAGAACCTATTGAGACAAAGAAATTCATATAAATATAAACGATAAAGCACCAATAATACCAATTCATAGAGGTGATAGAAATTGAAAAAAATCATTGTGCATTGGTTCTTCTTCTAGACAATGACTAATGTACAATTTAAGTATTGGCAAGGAGATAACCAAATCCATGTGCAAATCTACAAACCTTGAAAGAATGTTGGTACACACTTTTCTGTTAAATCTCGTTTTTCAGGCACCGACACTGCCAGTGCTTGTCTCCATGGTTTACTGGCATCACTATTCGTATCAACATTCTACAGGGTATTGGTATGAACATAAATGATACAGTCAGAGTATAGGTTAATCTCAACACACACACATAACACTCATTATATTATATCTGTTGGCATTCAAATTGAATGCCACTAAAAAAAATGTGAATTTCAAAATTGTTAGGTACAATTACAAAATTTATTGACATGAAATAATTGAAGATCTAAAGACGTTGCTATAAATGTTGTAAGCCAATTTGTTTTGAATTAACCCGAAAAGCCAATGGATCAGGTAGTTCAAATAGACATACCACCTCAGTAACAGCACATATGTGGTTCTCTTGAGTACATCATTTGGAGTTTTCGTTTGTTGTGAACACTTGATAAAAAGAAACTAAACACACAGTAAACTTAAAATCTACTATAGTCTTTTCAACCTATCAAAACACTCCATTACAAGACTTAATGTACACTAGTTATTCTGCCTCATGGCCATAACAAGGATCGTGTCAAATCTCTTTGTTCTCATATAATGACTTTTATACTACCTAGTATAACTGTCCTAGGATATTTGATTTGTCTTTGTTCTCCTAAATTGTCCAAGGACGTATAACACCACATAAAAGAAAAATCATGGTGGAGACAACATTGCTAGAATGAAACAACCAAAGCTAGGTTCAAATACCAGGTTGTGTGGGTAACCAGTGGATTGCTAGTCAAGGTTACACCATCCCCCTACTTGGTGAACCACAAATATTCAAATTAAACACATATAATTACAGTCTTCACAAATTAACAGAATAATTATCTATGTTTAAATACTATATGTACCCTTGCATGTTCTACTGATTGAAGATGGGCAAGCCATTGTCCCACTTTATTGATTGACATATTACATGGTTGGCACCAATGCATCTGTGAATCGACATACACCATTTTAAACTTTAACTTTTTATTTGTAGTTGATTTTGGATCAGATTCCTGCTCATCTTTGGTTTCCTACAATTAAATATTATTAAAAATATATATTTATCAAATAAAAGTAATATTGACCTACATATATGATGTGTGTGAAAATGTTCACAATCTACAAGTACAGATTAAATCCATCCAATGATGTCTACAATCACAGTTTCTGTAAATAGAACCAATGAACTATGTTAAATTAGTTGGAATAACTATGCACCATGATTGACCCATGTATTACAACATTATCTCACCTGTTCAGTCTTTTCTTGCTTTACACCTGGTTTACCTCCTTCACTAATGTCCTCTTCAGTTTTATTGGATTCTGCTTGTACTTTGTCCATTTTTTGTCTCAATAATGCTATCTGCTTCCCAATCTCTTCTTGTAACTTGGTATTTTCTAGTAGCAGAGGATCTTTATGCCCATCTTTTTGTTTTTGTTTCTTTCTCATTAGGTCCCCAGCCTGCTTTCTCAGTTTGTCTAGCTCAGATTCCAAATATTCCAGTCGCTTCTGAAACACTTGTTTATTTTTTTTTAATTCTTCTAAAGCAATTTTTTTGCGGGCTCGCTCCTGTTCATTCTTATCAAGCTCTTCCTGGTTTTTCCTCTTACCCTCATCCAGGCCTTTCTTCACAAACTCTTCTTGGCTTTTCTTTTCCATCTTTGTCGTCTCATTTTGCGACCCTCTCCTGTTCTTATCTATATTTTTCTGTTGTTGCTGTAATTCTTTTTTTGGCATCAAGATTTTTCGGTTGGACACATTCTGCTGGGGTTGTGTTTTTACTGTATTCACAGTAATGTTAGTTTGTATGGGAACAGTGACAAGGTTTGATTCCCTCACACCAGGCAAAGGTGCTGCCTTTGGTTGGACAGCATTTTGCTGCATCACAGGTTCAGATTGTGATTGATGCTGCAGGGGCTGTTGCTGCGGCATGGGATATGGTTGCTGAGCAACATGTTGGTACTGCTGCTCATAGCTTTGCTGTGGCCAGTACTGACTATTGTCATCATAAGTAGACTGGGAGAATGCAGCACCAGTGTTGTGATAGACCTCATCACGATGCTGTTGGCCATAGTAATTGTCTGTATCTACACCACTGTTGAGGAAAGACCCTGATTTATCAAAATCAAAGTTGGACTCTGGGCGAGCAGGGCTGCTCTCATCTTGCGGAAACTCTCTTCTTCCTTGGGGAAGTTCTCTTCTTTCTTGGGAAAGTTCTCTTCTTTCCTGGTGAGCTTTTTTTTGTTCTTCATAAAGATTTGTGTTCTCTATAGGTGGTGCATGTTCTGATTCGCTGGCTTTCTCTTTTTTCTGCATCATATTAGATTTGTCAAAATCAAATCCAATTGCAGACAGTATGTTTACAATCTGTTGGTTAGTAAAATCTGTATCACCATCAGACTTTTTGCGTTTTGACGGTGGCTCAGATTTTTGGTCTTTAACTGGCATTTTATCATAATCATCCTCATGTTGCTTACGATGACTAGATTGCTGGTTGCTGTCGGGTGCACCTCTCTTTTCACTCCGATCGATTTCTCCGAAACTTCTGTCATCACGAGATCGCCTGTCTGGAGAATGGTAACCATGGCTGCGTCTTTCATCAACATCTTGGTGTCTTAAATCAGTATTTTGTAGAGACTGTTGTCTACTATCAATATCAAATCCAGGTATACCAGCTCTAAATCCACTATCTTGCCTACCTATACTACTAGCTCTAGTCCTTGAATCTGTATATGGCCTTTGTAGGCCATCCTCTCTAGCCCACAAATCCCTATCTTGGCTTTGTGATCCATCATGTCCAGACCAGTAGTCTTGCCTTCTGGAAACATCTGATCTATTCAAGCCATCATCTCTGGACCTAGAATCAGATTCTCGTTGACGAAAACCATCATCCCTAGACCTAGAATGAGGATCTTGTCTATACAAGTCATCATCTCTAAGCCTCAAGTCAGAGTCTCCTTTCTGTCTGGAATCAGTATCATACCTGGGTAAACTTGATGCTCTTTGATCATAACTCCTACCTGGAGAAGGAGCCATTAGATTGCTATCATAACGTTTGCTACCCACATGAATGTTATCATTTCGCTTATTATACATGTCTTCCTGAGAAGTCTGGTCTCTACCTCTTTGTTCATAAGCTTTTCCTGATGAATATGACTCAAGTGAATCCTTTTTCTGTTGCACAACTTGGCCTTGTCTTGGATCTTTGTCAGGTACTGGAAATTCTTTGACTGGTTTAGATTCTTCTTCATCATCACCATACAGAAACCGGTCTTCATCTTCCACAGATGCAAAGCCTGTTCCTCTAATATGCTCCTCCTCATCATCATCATCAATTCCTGGGATCTTAAATTCACCTCGAGAACCCATCGGACTGCCTGAGCCCATGTCCCATAAGGAAAATTTGTCTGTTTCCCTCTTGTGCTCCCATCTTGGCACTTCATCATGTTCCTTAGGTATATTTTGGGGCTTGAAATCATCTTGGTAAAACTGTTGACCTCTATTATCTAATGTTCTATGGTCAACGGGAGATGGTTCACGCCTACTACGATACACATCTTCTGCAGCTTCCATCCTCATAGGTGACTGATCTCGCTGTGCCTCTTGGATAGGTGTTGCATGTCTTGGTTCAGAAGTCACAGGTGGTTTAGCTAACATGTCTGCTGTAAAGATGTCTTCAGATCCGCCCATTCCATATTGTCCTGTGTAGCTATTTTGTTGAGCACTGATATCTCTTTGAAGTTGAGGTGGCGCTTTCTGAGATTCTAAGAGTTGCGGTTGTATTTTTCTCTCATAGCTAGCTCTATCCCTAGGTTTCAGACTTTTCTCCCTACTACTACTACTGCTTCCACTGCTGCCACTGCCACTACTAGAATATGAACTACTGCTACTATCACTGTCATAATGTCTTTTACTCCTGGACCTCTCATAACTCCTCTCCCTTGACTTTTTATAATCTCTGTCCCTACTGCTATGTTTCTTGTATCTATCCCTGTCCCTATCCCTGTGTCTGTCCCTATCTCTGTCATGATATCTTCTCCTTTCTTTATCATGACTCCTACCTCTATCCCTATTCCGGCTCCTATCCCTATGTCTGTCATAGTCTCGACTTCGTCCTCTCTTCTCCTTGTATCTGTCTTGGGATCTGCTTTTATACTTATCAGAGGATGTGCTTTTATAGTCATCTTTGTATTTTCGATCTGGAGAGCGCAATTTATTCTTTTCGCTTTCATAGTACTTGTTCATAGGAGGATCACTACTTGTTTGACCACTGTTCCTAAAATATAAAAAAGTTTATAAGTAGCTGTATGCATTAATTTAAATTTAATTTAAAAAACACAAGAGATACAGAGTTCACTAATTAGTAATTCAAATCACAAATACTGAGCACAAAAAAAATAGAAGTGAAAACCAAGTTTATATTGATGAAACTGACAAATCGTCTCTCCAAAGCAGAGTTTTTAGGGTAACTGCACCCTTTAACTGCAGCTCACACTCTATTGATAAAAGTGATTGTGAATCAAAACTTGAATGGCTTAACATTTTTGAGACACTAAGTAAAGGTTGGAGACATGGATCTAAGTAGAAACATGGTTGACAAATAGAGCTGACAGATGGATATTCTGAATCAAAATCTAAAAAAAACAAGCCATACATGGCGCAGTCCCCGTTAGTTATCAAATTTAAGTTATATAGTTTTATTTATAGTAATATAGCTGGACAATAACCATGTCAGGAATATGATTTTTTTAACATTAAAATGATTAACATTTGTATCTGATCGTTAAACAAGTACTTGTCCATATTGAGAGATATTGCTCTGGAACAGCATTCAAAATCAGCCATTTCGAATACATGTATATATAACATGATGTATAACGAATATATAAAATTTGAATATATAATCAGTAAAAGCATTTAAGAGATATGGCTCTAGAAGCCCAATCATTAAAACAAAATGGTCGCTATTTTGAATCCAATCTGAAAAACAAAATGACGTGCATCATGAACCCGTAATTTCTAATGTATGTACCAAGTTTGAACGAAATCCATCCATAAATGCTTGATATTTGATGATTTTTTTTAGACAAAAATGACTACCATTTGGCCATTTTGAATAGGATCGTCAAACCAATATATCTGTCTATCTATGACATGATGTATGATGAATATTTAAAATTTGAATATAATCAGTCAAAACAAGTTGGAGATATGGGTCTAGAAGTCCATTCATTAAAACAAAATGGCCACCAGACAGCCATTTTGAATCTTATCTGAAAAATAAATGATGTGCATCACGGTCCCATAATGTCTAATATACCAAGTTTGAACAAAATCCATCTGTAAACAGCCAAGAAATGCTTGATTTTTGGGATTTTTTTAGCACAAAAATGGCCACCATTCGGCCATCTTGAATCAGATTGTGAAACAAATTGACGTGCATATGTATAATAACATGTATGATGTATGTGTGAAGTTTGATTGTGATTGGTCCAGGCATTTCTAAGATACTGGTCCGGACGCACGCACAGACGCACACAAGCATGCACGAACACACGGAGGTCAAAACATAAGTCCCCGTTTTCGGACTGCGTCCGAACGGGGATTAAAAAAAAGCAAAAGCAACCCAATATGTGTTATACCAAATCTGACTGAAATCAAACCAGTCATTTCTGAGAACTGGTTGCAGACACACCGAAGTATTAAGACTTTATACACTAAAATCAAATAAAAAAACAAACTTGTATGACATCATTCATTGTTTTCATACAAAGTTTGAAAGTAATTAGTCTTTCTAGAAATAGCTTCAGATGAATCATACCCAAAATTAAGACAAAGACAACATTTTGTGAAAGTCACTGCTTCAAAAGGCACTGTGACCCACAGTCTTAAATATTTCAATAAAATATTCTCTGCTACAAAACTCAAAAAAATTCAATAATAACTCCATTATTATGGACGCAGTCTCATGCATGTTTACCTTGGCATTGACTCTCTTTTTCTATCCTGAGGGATTAAAAATTCATGGCTTTTAGAATCATCTTTAGGATAAGAACTTTCTTGTAACACAGTCTTTGGCTCTTCTGGTGGACCCAGCCTCTGTATGGTGGGATCCGTGTTTAAAACTACAGGAGGGCTGCGCTCTTTCTGAAATTTCTCATTCCCAACGGTTATTCTGATCGATTCGTTGGCATCTCTAGGAAACGTGAAACCAGCCGGCTGTTGAGAAATACATTTGACAATTGAAACATGCCATGAATCAAAGAAGTTACTGCGACTAGTATTTCAAGTCAACCTTTTTTTCAGGTTGAATAAAACAAAGTAATGGCTATATACTTACTTTCAGCAACACTCGATCGTAAACTTTCCCAGTCCTAAAAACATTAGGGTTGGGTTGGGATTAAAGCCACTGAAGGGCATCTAGTATTGAATGAAATATACATTACATATACCACATTGCATACTTCAATTTGTCATTCCAGATAAATCAGGTCAATGGCATTACAGAGGTATATTGCATCAAATAAATACATATTAACACTGGAATCAATTATCCATGGTGAATTGAGGTGCAGAAACAATTTTGTCTGTAAAGCATGTGTTATATGTATGTACACATGCATATTTGTAGAAGTACACGTAATGTGGTTAAAATTTTGAAAGCAGAAATTGAAGTTACCGGTAACACACTCCCTCAACAAACCCACGGCTATATCACAATACAGTGAGTTCTTCTCAGTTATGTATCAAGCACAGTGGCTAATTAATGTTATGTTTATACCGGTATTGTTGCAAAATACATAATTAGCATAGCAATGATGGTGATCTTCTTGAAGTTCAAACATAGAATTTATTTGGCTAAGCACTGTAAACTTGCTAAGCTTTGAAAGATTGGAAGAACACTGATAATGTATTTCAAAATATTGCACGTCCACTATAAATAAAGCAATAAAAACTTTCTATTTTATGGCACACAATGTTTTAACTAAGAGAATTGTGAACACATGTCATTTTAAGGCATACAATTCGCATGCTTGCTGAAATACCATTTTTAAAACAAAACGTTGAGAAGCGTAACGTTGAATCTAAAATTGGTTCCCAAAAACTGGTGTGCACGGTTCTTCTTGTTTCCTTTATTGACAGTAAAAAATGGTGACGTCAAATCAGTCATCAATGCATCCGGCATTGTTAGTAAAGACTACAGCTATTGTTGTATTCTAA